AAAACTAATGTTTATTCATTTGTTTTTCTTTTTTATCTTGCAGCAACACACCTCTTGCTTTTTCCTCCAAAGTATGTTATATTAAGTTTCGTGACCCATCAAGTGTTGGTGTGGCCCAGCATCTAACTAACACGGTTTTTATTGACAGAGCTCTGATAGTAGTTCCTTGTGCAGAAGGTTGGTATCTCATGTTTTTTTCCTATTGTTTTTATTTCTGTCCTGTCTGTTACTGTAGCCTTTGACTTTCCTAGAAATTGACATGTACTCTATGTCTGAGTGTGTATGCACTCTCATGCTTGTGTGTGTGAAAGCAAGAATGAAATTTGGAGAAGGAAAGAATACTTAATAGAAAATTTACATTCAAGTGTTTAGTTTATTACTTAAGAAGATATTTGAGATTTTATAATGTCACATTTAGAAAATTTATGAAATATTTATTTGGCTTCTATAATTGGCTTTGGCTCTCTATATTCAATTTGCAGATTGTAAAAAGAGTTTCTGAGATTAAAACAATACTTAAGTTGATATGGAAAATTATTTAAAATGCGTAAGTAAACTAATATCCATGGGTACAGTGTATAATTTTCCAGATAAAAATACTGTATACATTATGCCAAATTGGGGTTATGATATTTATATTCATTTGAAAAATATTCACAGTTTAGTCTTTCAAATATCCTCTCAAGGTAATTTATCTCACTTGGTATGGGACGATTATTTCATATTTAGGGTAATTGTTTGCTATGCAAATGGGACTTTTTTCTTTATTGGCTTTTATTCGCGAGGGTAACTGGAAAAAAAATTATGGAAAGCAATTTTTAAAGTCTCCATCAAGGAAATGGCTATGAAAGACAGGAGTAGGCCAAAGGCCTTATTGTTACTTACTAATTTTGGATGTCTGAAATTGCTTTAAGAGCTAATTGCTACTAAAATTTTTGGTAACTTCTTTTTCCAGAGCCATTCACAATAATTGATTACTGAATCTGACAGTTCTAATGCATAATTAACTTAAATACTGACTGGCATGTATTCATAGGTTTCAAAATTGGGTTATAATAAATTTAAATGTCCTTAGAAATAGACATTTTCTGCTGGATGATGGTAACTATTTTGCAACATAAAAATCTACTAGAAACAATTTAATGGGCTTTCTTATGTAATTTAAAAAACTTGTAGTTAGCAGGTTAACACTAAAATATTGTGTATCATAATGATTGGCTGCATTTTCAGAGTTTTATGCTTATTTCAGAATGCCTGTTTTGGAATGTTAAGAACAATTAGTACCAGACTAGTCATTCTGAAATTCCAGAAGAGGATATTCTGGGCTTTTTTTTCCCCCCCAGATAAGTTTGAAAGCTTATTTCTATGTTTCAGAAATTAGAGTAGATAGGGAAAATAAAAATGGGTTAAAGTTAATTATTTGCCAAATATATTCTTACCTGATATTCTTTAAGGACACAGTGAGCCCATTGGAGAATAAGATTGGCAAGGAATGAGTATTCAATTTTACAAATTTTGTACAGAAATTTCATACCCTGAATCTGCATAGGAAAAAAAAATCAAATAGATTTCTTAAGCTGGAATATTGTTTCAGAAAATTATGCCACCAAAAGTACAGGATTTTACTATGTTAGATCGTTGCTGAATTGGAAGAATTTGAAATCATTGTTAGAACCTTGCTATAATCTTAGATGGTTATATCAGAGAAGCCCGACTCTGATTTCAGGGATATAGGCTTGTAGAGGTCCCTCTTGGGTTTTACGGTACAGAAATGAATAAAAGCATATTTAGTTACAAGTCTTAATATTTTTAATGCTACTATTTTGAGATAAAATTTTACTATTTTTGGACATTTAAATATGTTTTTGCTATAGTTTAGTTTTAAGTAGGTGAGTATGTCCACACTAACTTTTAAAATAATTGGCATTAAGAAAAATTCTGGTATAGATTTTTTATTATATCAAATCCAAGTGATGTATTTCTGGAACCTGAAGAATTTCACAGCTCTTAAAAACCTGATATGCTCTGCCAGCAAAGAACTAATGCATTATTGTATGAAAAAGATAGCAGAGTGAGTTTGACATAAACCTAGGGAGAGTGTTAGTGGCAGGAGCTCTGTAGAGGAGGCGTGCTGTGTGCAGTGAGTGAGCACTGCTGACCCAACTCACCGCATTTGTCATAGATGGCACAGAAGCAGCATAATGGAATGAGTGAGGAAGGTGAACAAAGGTTTTGCCAGGTTTTCCAGTTTCTTTCAACTTGCTGGTTTTTAGTTCAGATAGTAATGTAAGAAGACCTTAGAGTGTAAAAGTGATCTTGTTATCTATTGAGCATGAATTAGTGTTAATAAAACATGCCATTTCAAAATAAAATATACTTTCATTATATTTGTCTAAATATGACCTCTTTTCATTGTTGCGTGCATTTCAGATTTCTTTTTGTAAATGTTAACATTTAGAAAAGATAAGATCAAACATAACAGGTGTGAGCCTAATCATCAGTCGTAACTTTATGTCCACATTTTCTGGTAGATGGATTTTGACTATTAATTTGGTTTTGTATGTTTTCTCTATGTGATATTTGTGCATTATTAGATGACTAGACTGGCCAAGGCAGACCTGTTACACTTGCCTGAGTTAGGCATTGTTTGCCATGCCACTAAACCTGCCGTCAAGTGAAACCTTCATTGGGGAAATGAGATCGGAGTCTGAACCGCAGAAGATGGACGCCCTGTCTCTGTTTTTTATTGTTTTACTTTAATTTCATTTCTTTTTATTTTGTCCCTTTTTTGTTTTTTGTTTTTGTTTTTGTTTTGTTAAATCTCTTTCACTTTAACTTGTGAGCTGGTTTTCCAGTTCTTTGTAAATGGTATTCCATTAAGAGTTCATAATGTGTTGCAAATTTTATCGGGGGATGATTACAGAGCTCAACCTTCAGATAAACTAAATTGTCACGCAGTAAGTTAGAATGTAGTGTTGTCAAGATGCTCAGTGTGACTTTTAATTGGTTTTTATGGATTGATCAGGTACATTTTGATCTTGAAACATTTAAAACACTTATAAGAATCTTAGGACCATTGTCTGATGGGGTCAGTGCAACTTTCTAGTATTTTTTTCCCCAAGTCTACATCTCTCATAAAAACCAGCTGATGGTTTCTAAATTTTATCCTTCCCCCTAGAATTGTAGGTATATAAAAATCATCAAGGAAAATAAGTAAACTTCTTATATAATCTGAAGGTAGGGAAAGGGTACTTGACTTTTCTGATGGTTATTCATTTTTCTACTTGTCTTAAGAAGTCTTTTGTTGCCTATGTGGGGAATGGATATTAGAGAAACTATTGATTACTTGCATGCATGTTTTTGTTTGCTTGAATTTTTGTTGAAAATTCTTTAGCGGTTACTAGCTTTTAAGTGGATTCTGAGGTTAGAACTCACAACAATGTGAGAGGTTTTGCCTCAGTTTTCTTTGAAGTGTAGTTTGGGGAAAATGCTAAATTATTACTTGTTTTATACTTTCATTTACTTTTGCAGTGTTTAGAGGATAAATTTGATAGAATTTTATTTTGGAAATTAAGTAATGAAACTTTTTCCTAAAGTACCTTTAATAGAATAAGACGTAATATTGAGCTTGTAGTTACTGATTTATAGTTTATTGTCAAGAAAGGCAGTGAGAATCTGCTGTACCAGACTGATGGTATTTAAGACAGAACTGAAGCTTCAGAATACTGAATAACCAACTTGGCTCATATCAGATACACTGTTTGTGTAGTCTCTCTACACTTATAGATAGTTTGGTTTTACTTTTTGACAGATAATATTAAATCTGGCACATTACTAGATTGGAACTCTTTTTTTTTTTTTTAAAGGTATAAATTAGGGTACTGAAGCATAGTGTTCCCACCTCAGGACTACAGTTGATTTATCAAAAGTGTTCAGGTTTTAAACCTTTAAAATAATACTATATAGTTCTAATAGATAAAATGAATGTAATATTAATATAAATAGTATAGTCTATATGTGGGTATATGTAGATATATGTTAATACTAGTAACTAATAAAATAGTCTATTGTTATTTGATATCTTCAGTAAGGCCTACCTTGTTTATCTTTATGCATGTTAAGAAATTTGTTCTCCAGAATATATACTGAAATAATAACTTTGTTTTTGAAATTAGTCACTTAAATATAAATTTAGATGCTATAAGTTAGAAAGTAGGCATTTGCCAAATTCACTAAATTGTAATGTTTATTCTCTTTCTGTAGATAAGATATAACTATAATCTAAAGTTTTAAATTCCAACTTGAATTTCATCCGTGTTTAGAGATCTTTTCAGATAATATTTAGAGATTTCTGTACATCTGGTTGTTTTAAGTAGGATTTTTTTTTTTTAACCTCTGAAACTACGTATTACTGCTTTTGGAAATTTGCCACGTATATTTCAGATTAGTGTGATTTTTTTTAATGCAG